TAAAAGATCCTGGAACACCATGGCCAGGTACTGGGGCCAGAAAGAAAGTTTTTAGTGTGTTGTAATGTATCAGTATGCATAGCATAAAAGAAAACATAAAATAAGGAAACAGTGTCAGCACTATTCTTGTCCTTCAGATCCCCACTAACCTAACATCACTGGGGAGCTATAATAGATACTACTCTTAAAACTTCACTATCACAAAGTCACTTACCCCAAATATGATTCTTAAGAATGATATGCACAGGCACTAACTAGTGCAGCAGTGTTATTTTCAAAATAATAGCACAGAGTATGCCATTTTGTCAGGAATTATTTCATTTGAACCTTAGTTTAACTAGATCTCTCAATAAGAGCCTGCAAGACCTTCAACCTACCTTTGGAGCTTGCTCTGAGCTATGCTGCAGCACAGTGTACAGGATCTGCATGTTGTTGGGATTTCTTGCATTTGACAGTTCATTGAAGATCACAAATTTAATTGTAGTGCCCAGGTTATCCCTGTGTGCATTCAGTAGCTCTCTGAAAGAGAAGGCCAAAATTATGAGAACTTGAGCTTTCCTTGCAGCAAAACCCTTTGCAGGGGCACTGAGGCCATCAAGGATCCAGGCACTCTCTTGCCATCACACGCCTGGTCACTCCCTTACCTCACACACAGCATGTAGTGGTTGAGAAGGACTTTTGGTTTGAGGCGAATTTTGATAAGGTTGGAGATAACTTCCATGTCCTCCGAGCTGTGAGTGTTGCAGTTCATACAGACTGACATCAGCAAGTCCTGAGCTGGCTTGGTCAACTGCAGGGAAAGAATGGAATGACTCTACAACCACCTACCATCACAGGTGGGAAGCATAGTTGGGGTATATCCGTGTGGCTCTCCTGGCTGGACTCCAGACCAAGGCCAACAGTCATGGCCCAACAGCTGCTCTCTTTACCTTTGGATTCTGCAGCCACATCTCCAGCCGTTGCACAGCCATTTGTCGAACCTCTTTGTAGCCACAGGTCGCTGTCAGCAGACGAAGGAGGTTCCTGGAGACGTTATCCATCGGCTGGCGCCGGTTCAGCTGGTCCCGCAGCATGTCTAGGACGTACTCCTCCACACTCTCTGCAAGGTCCTCGTACCTAAGCCACACAAGTCACATTTTGTTCACTTCTGCACAAGGCCTGGCCATACTTCAGCATATTGAGAAATTAGCATCCTCTCTTGTATGTGTTATAGTTACAAAACAATGTTTCTTATTCCTATTTCCAGGATAGTTTTAGCTGGTGCTCAACATCATCTAGAGTTACAGGAGGGCTACTGAGAGAAGCAGCCCCCAACTGCAGCACTGCGACAAAGAACTACTGATCAGGGGTGAGCACAGACCCGATCTGCCTCGTAGCTAGGTCAGGAGGAGAGCACTGTACCTGGGCATGAGTTGGCCTTCCTGCTCTGGGCTCATTTTCTCCTCTGCAATCAGCAGCTCACTCTGGCTGTCTTCCTCCTCTGTCATGGAGGGATGTGGGCTGCTCCCTGCAACAGAGCAGCATGCAGCACACTTCATGAGACGGCTCCCTTGCCTACAGACTCCTTCTGCTCTGAAGCCTTCACCTTCTGTCAAGGATCTCTTCAATAACACCACAAGCTTCTTCAAATTGTATCACATACAGGTACAATTCCTTAAATTCCTTTCACTAATCTCTTAAATCTGGTCTATGTTATTCCATACAGCAACAAACCATTCATCTGTTATTAAACTTGCAGAGTTCCCTCCTGTCCCTACCTCTTTGTTCACGTTTCCCCAAACGTCTTACCAGCACTAAGGTCCCCTCCACTACGGCCAACCTCCCCATGCAACAACATGCTCTTAGGGGGCATCTTCGTATTAAAGGCTGTCTGAATGTTATCCACAAATGTCTTGCAGTGAGGGCTATCAACCCAGATGCGCTCCCCGAGGGAATCCTCAATATAAACCTATAGGAAAAGAAGGAATAGAGAACATTACACACAGCTGTATTGTACAGGTTAATCACAAGTGTATTTGCGAGTTTGGCAAGTTATAGAGTCACAGAATCCTTAAGGTTGGAAGAGACTTCTAGAGATCATGTAGCCCAACCCCCCTGCATGGCTTGTTCGTTCTCAAAATGCAGCTGTGAGGCAGGAAAACAGCACCCTCACAGCACAGATTAGAAACTGAGACCACATGAGCTCAGGTGTGTCACATAAGAGCAAGTAAGCCACCCAAGCTCTGCTGGATACTGAATCTGTCTGGGATCACAGGTGCCTTATTTCAGCAAAGATTTCACAAAGGCTCCCACTTCTAACATAGAGAAGTTGACCTGTTAAGCTGTTGGTTTTAAAACAGATGAGCTGTAAGTACTCAATTGCTACAGGCAATCCAGACAGTCAGGCATCTCTGGGACACCGATATATCAACACACATTGCCAGGAGATTTTTTTTGTAAAAAGCAGACATAAGGCAACAAAATATAAGAGGCCACAGCAATTTGACCATCAGTGGAGATTATTCCTTGACAGGAGGTTATTTTCTTTCTTCCCACCCATGCTGGTTGACAGGTCACTGGACACTCTCTCCTCTTGCAGCAGTATTAAATCCTCTACTCTTATCCTGCTACCAATACACATGGGTGTCCCAGCCCCAGCTGCATTTCACCCAGTCTGCCCACCACTGTCTCCATAGAACAGCAACACTCTGAATTCAATCACCTTGACAAAAATCTCCGGCCAGTTCTCGTCCTCCTCGTAAGCAGCCATGAGGAGGTTGCAGGCCAGGACAGACACCAGGCTATTCCCTTTGGCTTTGAAATTGATGGAGGCGTCTCTTCGAAGAAGACTGCACAGGGCCTGCAAGATCACATACAAAAATCAGACCACCTAGCAGAGCAGCGGGCACAAAAGCACTGAAAGAAGATACACAAATGACTGCAATTTGTGCAACACAGTTATTTACAGAGACATACACAGCTTATGTTCTGGCCTGACAGAAACTACGACTACACTCTCCGGCTGGCAAAAACCCCACTGCCAACGAACCTGAGGGTCCCTACGTGACACCGCTCTCACCTCGATAACTCCTTCAGTGGCAAAGATGTTGGGTTTGATCTTTGCCAGGTACATGAGGCTCAGGTAGAGCGTAGTATCAGGTTTGGCTCTGTTCATTTTGAGCTGCTTCACTGCTCCGCACAGCACCCCCTCGATCCGGTCGTCGTTGCCTTCTGCCTCTGCTGCCTCGATTTCATCCAGCAGCACCGTGGGGACCACTGCAGTAATTAACACACAGGCATTAGTTTCTACACCTGTGCAAAACAACCTAACGCAGGACACCTGAAAGACAAGGAACCTAGAAAATAAGGCATGGATTTGCTTGCTTTTACCCACTGCAACGGCTTCCACCCCTCACACCTAAATGCCATTAAAAATTATCTCCTGCCTGACAACCCTCCCCCAGCTTTTTCTTGTTAGTAGAATATCCTTCCACGGATACATCCAACAGCAGGAAATGAAGCAACAGAGAAAATATGGCACACAGATACACCAAAAATGTTAAAATTGATGGATGTAAATCCATAATTTAAGTTCTAAGATTTTGTCGAAAATGTCTTTCAAGGGCTGCCCTCGGGGAGCTGCCGGGCGGGATGATCAGAGCCAGCCGGTGGGAATGGGGAGGAGAGGAGCGTGTCTTGACCCCGAGCGCCGCGGGACGAGGGCAGGACGGCGGGTCCCGGGGCTGGAGGGGCAGCCTCCTGCCCGCCGCAGGGGTCACCCGTTTCCACTGAAAACTCCGCATTCGCTCCCCAGGAATGGAAGCGGGGCGCCTCTGAGGTCCTTACGGCGCAGGCTGCAGCACCTGGGCTCAGAGGGAGGTTCCCGAGCTCCAGCTCCATGCGAGGCCACTACCCGCCACGCTGCCGGGGCCCGGGGCTCCCGCTCGCGCCTCACCTTCGATGGGGATGACGGAGGGCTCCTTGATGGAGGGCGAGATGGCGCGTTTCTCGGCCACGGCCGCCTCGGCCAGGCGGCCCAGCGCGCTGAGCGGCGGCGTGGCCGGCAGCTTGGGCCGCTTGGCGAGGCCGGGCAGCCCCGCGGCCGCCGCCTCCCGCTTGCGCTCCGAGGGCAGCCCCGACGGCGCCGGCTTGAGCAGGGTCACGGCGGCCTTGGTGTCGCCGCTCTGCCCCTTGGAGCCGAGCGCGATGAAGTCGCCGGGCGGCGGGTGAGCTGCCAACAGGGGGAGAGCCGTGAGGGCCCGCGCGGGGCTCGGCCGGGCCCCCCCGAACCCCGCGGCGAGGCGCGGCACTCACCGGAGGGCTTGGGCACGGCGCTGGGCCGCCGCACGGCCGCCGCCTTCGGGCGGTTCATGGCGGCACCGAGGAGACCGGCAACCGCGACCCGCCGGCCGCGCTCCGGACGCGGAAGCCGCCTTCCCTTCCCTTCCCTTCCCTTCCCTTCCCTTCCCTTCCCTTCCCTTCCCTCCGCTCCGCCCCGTCCCGCCCCGCGCCCTGGCGGCCGGAGGGCGCAGCGCGCCGCCAGAAACTGCGGCGCCCCCCGGCGGGCGGCGGCGGGAACCGCACCCGGGGCGCTGGAGGGAGACGGGGCGGGGGGGGGAGTGCGTGGGGGGGCGTGGGAGCCCTCGGGTGGGGGTGCCAGGGACTGGGATGCTGGGATCCAGGAGCTGGGATCCGGGATGCTGCGATCTGGGTGCTGGGATCCCGGTGCTGGGATCCCGGTGCTGGGTCATGGCCACTGGAAGTGGGGTGTACAGGTGGGGGTCACAGTGATGGGGGGCTGCAGCTTGGGGGTGTCCCGCTCCCCTGCCCTGGCGGCTATGGGTGCCCGGCCCCCCGCGGCTGTCCATCCCCATGGTGCGTCACCACTGCCACACCGAGCTCTCCACGTGCCTTTATTGCACAGGGGCCGTGGTGCCCCACAGTCGGGCCCCCACGCGGGGCTGTGGTGGGGAGGGGGGACACCCTGGGGCCAGGCCCCCTCCTCATGCGTGCCCAGGCCCTCGTGTCCCCGAGGGGTGGCAGGGAAGCAGGGTGGGCACAGGCCCTGCCGCCTCCTCCTCCACGGAGGTGCCCAGGTCTCCCGGACACAGAATGGCCCCGGCGATGGCGGGACAGACACAGAACGGCCTCAGAGATGGTGGGACGGCAGCTCCTCCTCCGCCCCATGGCGCTCACAGCCACCGCAGCGAGAAGCCCTGGCTGAGGCCGAGGCCGAGGTCACTCACGGTGAGGACCTGCATGGTGAGAGGAGATGTGCATCAGGACGCAGACATGGCCAGGAATGAGCATCCTTCGCTCTACCCGGCTCTGCTGGGATCCTCCCAGTGCTTCTTGCACCGGCTTCCCATCACCATGAAGCGCCCAGGAGCCCACAGCGCTCCCCGAGGCTGCCCAGCCCTCTGCTCCCGCCGCCGCGAGGGCTGGGATGGAGAGCATGGGCCATACCTGGTTGTCCAGGTAGGAGAAGGGCTTCTCCTGCCCGTTGAGCAGGACTTTGCTGGGAGGCTCCCGAACGCCAAAGATGCTCAGCGTGTCAATGGTGACGTGCGTGGCCTCTGCACTGGTATGGAGGACGGTGGAGTAGAAGACGTTCTGGGGAGGAGGTGAAGATGTGAGCGTGAGGAGGTCCAGTGTCCCCGGCCGGGGCTCATCCCGTGCCATGGGAATCACAGAAGGACATCAGCCCCGCTGCCCACCCAGCCTGGCCCTACCCGCGTAACGTTGAACACGAGGTAGGAGTAGCTGCCCCGCTCAAAGGTGTCCAGGCTCTCGCCGTCGTCCCAGAAGAGGTCACCCCAGGCGGCGCGACTCTGGGACAAGGCCACAATCAGGCGGAGGGGGTTCCCTCGGCTCTCCTGGCTGGTGATCCCAGGTTTCTGGAGTCCAAAGAAACAAGTGCTGTACAGCTGGCAAACGCACAGGAGAAGCCCTGGGAGGGGCCAAGTGGTGAGATAGAGAAGTGTAGGTGCTAGGTGGGACATGGTATCCCTGGTCTGGTCTTCACTGTGGGGGACAAGACATCCCACATCCACATCATCCATATGGAGACCAGGGCTGGGCTGGGCAGGAGGAGCCTCACCTGGGTGGGCAGGATGGCCCCCTCCCGGACGTGCAGGTTGAGGTGGTCCAGGGGGGCCGGCATCTTCAGCATCTCCCCGCTGCTGTTCACAGATGTGCCCTGCGCGGGGAGCAGGAGACATGGGCATGGTGAGGGGTTTGGGGTGCTCAGGCACTCCTAGCCCCACCACACAAGCACCATGTCTCACTGAAGATGCTTGAACCCTTCTGCAGCCCCCCAGAGTGGTAGGTCCTTCCAATACCTCCCACACCCCCTTTCCCCCATCCTCTCTTCCTTTGGATGTTGTCTGGGCTAAAACACTGTTGTGTGTCCCCAGTCCCCCAGGCTCCCTGCAGGTGTTCGATGTCCAGCCTAAGATCTCATCCTTGCGTGCTCGGCCCGTGGGGCTGCTCACCCTGTAGAAGTCATACCACACGCCTCGCGGGAAATAGCCCACAACTGAGTCCGCTCCAGGCTCCAGCACCGGCGTCACCAGCAGGCTCTGTCCCCACAGGAACTGCCTGTCCATCCCGTACGTGGCCACATCCTGGGGGAACCTGGAGTGGGATGGGGATGCTGCTCGGATCAGATGCTTCTCCAACTGCGCTGCAATCCATGTCTCCTCCGAAATGCCCAGCAAAGGCAGCCTCGCATTGGCTCTTGTCTGGGCCATGCCCTCATGTCTGCAACCGCAGCAGCCAGGACCTGGCTGTGTGCCCTGGGGCAGCAATGGGGCAGGGACACAGACCATCCCATTGGTCTGGGAGGTGGCAACCATCGGCTTGTGAGATGGTGCTAGTGGCTTGGCTAGGACAGGAACCAACCCACAGACACAGGGAGCACCTGGGCCCCCCACATGCCCCAACGCTTACTCAAAGAACAGAGGCCGGGCGACGGTGTCTCCTTGCAGATGGGCCCGGTGGAAAAGCGTGTAGAGGAAGGGGAGCAGGGAGTAGCGCGTCAGCAGCACGTCCTTCATGGCCGTCCGTGCCGCAGGGCTGAACACGGTCGGGTCTTGGGCCTGCGGGAGACACCGGGAATCAACGGCTATCCAGCTGCCACCTCCCCTTCCCGCCCTGGGACAGACACGCTCCCCTCCACCTTCTCGTTCTGGGTGTTGTGGTTTCGGGCGAAGGGGTAGAAGGCGCCGAGCTGCATCCAGCGGGTGCACAGCTCCTCCGAGGTGCTGCCCGAGAAGCCGCAGATGTCCGCCCCGACCAGCGGGATCCCGAAGAGGCTGAAGCTCAGCAGCCCTACACACACGCAGGCAGGGGTGCCCAGCAGGTTAGAGGGAGTTTTGGGGTCTCTCTGCCCCCATCTCCCAGGCAGGGGACATCTCCAGATGCTGGAGTGTCTGCCCAGGATGAGCTGAAGGTGCTGGGTTCTGCTGGGCTGTGCCCTGGGGGAGGGCGGTGTTGTGACACCGTGCACCCACCTGGGATGGAGTAATACATGTCCTTCCACTGGCTCTGGTTGTCCCCCAGCCAGTGGCCCGAGTAGCGGCCCTGGCTGGGGAAGGTGGAGCGAGAGATGACGAGCGGGCGCTTCCCTCGGATCTGGATCAAGGCTCTGGAAGACAAGGAGAAGACAAGGAGCTGAGAGCAGATCCTAGTGGCTTGCCTCACCCCTCAAAGGTGAGGGACAGCTCTGCCTCCTGCCAACCCCACCACGACCTTCCGACCCATCCTGCAGGCTGGGAGCAGCTGCAACATCTCCCCTTCACCTCAGGTGCTCCAATCCATCCGTTTTCATATAGACTGGGCTATGATGGCCCCTGAGCAGCAGGATCTGCCCCCATCCCAGCTTCAGAGTTGGGACATGGGCATTCGAGCAGGGCGTGTGTGTACCTTGCCGTCGCCTTGGCTTCCATCAGCCCGTAGAGGTTGTGGAGGTTGTAGTGCACCGAGGCGCTCTGCTTCGCCGAGGCACAAACCGTCTTCGCATAGAGGGAATCCCCCAGCACAGCTGCCATGAGGGAGAGACACCCTTGACAAGATGTCCTATGTGGCAGGGGAGACGGAGACGACACCGGTGCATGCAGGCCCCCCATGCTTGCTAGCCCCGGGCAGAGTGATCCCTTGTGCAAATGCTGATTTAAGAGCTAAGAACCAGATAGGAGCATGCAGATGTCTCAGAAGGTGTATGGTGCCTGGCTTTAAAAATTGAACCCACATGCACCCCACAGACACCAAAAATGTGGGGCAGAATGGAAAACACACTGGAGAAAGGCAAGCCCCTGTGAGACCATGAGCACAGCACACTTGTATATGGATACCTGTGCACACAGGAGTAGTTGGCATGTTCAGGGTGTAAAATGTAGACATAAAGTCTCTTGAAAAAAAGCTGTTCCTCATAGCACTCAGCTCCTGGCTCTTTCAGAGCATGGTTTATGTGCCAACACAGCCTTTATTTTGTCTCCCTCCTTACCTGGTGTGTATGGTGGGCTATCGAGGTCTCCTGGGGGACAACCTTCTTCAGAGCCATCCATGAAGTTGGATGGCTCATTCATGTCCTAATGAAGAAAATTAAGAAAGTTTTGAGGGTTAGCAGACACTGCTTGGTCCCTTCCAGCCCTAAAGATGTCACAACCCAAATTCACCTCGATGCTGCATTTCCTGCCTGAACCACTAGTGTTTGCAACCTATCCCACCTGTAAAAAGCTAGTGGTATCTTTGACACCCATCTACATGATTCCTCAGCAGGAAACAGCTGAGCTCCTCTTTGCCCAATGTGCATGCAGGTAAGTGTGTTCATGATGGGGGTATCCTTTCAGCACCCACAAGAAATGAAATTGCTAAATGGAATGAATCTGGAGAACCTACATTGAGGGGACAGACGATCTTCCAGGGGCAGGTAAAGAAACACTTGCTGGCTGCAAGTTGAGCTCCATGCAGTGAGCTCCCAGCTGAGGGCAACGCACAGAGGGAAGGACAGACTTACGATCCAAAGCCCATCGAAGGGCACCTGGGCATGGAAACGCTGCAGGTTCTCCAGCCACCACTGATGGGTGTCCTGGTTGGAGAAGTCTGGGAAGGCGGTGAAGCCAGGCCACACCTGCAGAGAGGCCAGAAAGCAGCCCGCTCAATGCACAGACATCTCCTGGGGCACTGCCATGGGGACAGAGTGCACACAGGAGGCCAGTCCAGCTGCAGGAGGAGCAGTCCTTCCTCCCTTGGCCCTACCACACGTGCAGGGTTGCAGGTGAGCTGAAGGATCAGGGAGCAAAACAGGCAACAGAAACAGCAGATCGGGCCTGACTGCTTCGAGCTCCCCATTCTACTGCAGCACCGGGAATGTCACCGTGCTGGGGTGCCCTCAGTGTCCCTTGGAGGCATTCCCTGTGCTGCAGAGGGATGGACAGAGGTGTGGACAGTGAGTACTCACTCGGGATCACGTAGGAAGCCTGCAGCTCAACAAGCCAACTCTCCTGGGATGTTTTTTTCAGTGCCTTCCACTTGCATAATCACTTACACAATCTAACCTGGTGCTGCACTGGGAGTCAGCAAAAAGCTGCGATTTCCCTGTGCCTTGCCTCACTCCAGGAATTTTAGCTTCAAAGCCAATTAATTTTCCCCAGTGTTTCTCAGTCTCTGTTAAAAGTCATGAGACAGCAAGAGAGAGCTGGGAAGAGCAAAGAGCTTAGATGATGGGGCAGCCTGGAGAGGCCTCGCTGTGAGTTTGGAGTAGGTGGGAGCAGGTCCTGAGGCACTTGTCCATCACAGAGAACCTCTCCTCACCCCAGAAACAGGAAGGGAGAGAAATCAGATGATCGGCCGCAGTCAGCACTGGGCTCTGATCCGTTACGCTCATATGACTTCCACGGGTCCCTGCAGACTCCGCTGGGGCAGGAATAGACTGTGGAGTGGCCAAAAGGAGAAACAGGCACCCAAGCTAATGAAAGCTGAGAGTGCTCAGGACAGAGCCAGACTCTATAATTGGCCCAGAGAGGTCCCTCAACCACTTGGCATAATGCAACCTCTTGCATTAAGGAAGAAAACCCAGCCCTGCTAATGCCAAACCCTGACAGGGCTGGGATTTCCCTCAGCTGTTCCTAAGCAGAGATCTTCTTACCTGTCCTATTAGTGGCTGCCCTTGGGTGGTGTTTATGAACAGTCCCTGTCTCAAGCCTTCGTCAAAAGGCCAGTAGGAGCCGTGAGGGTTGGTGCTGCTAATGCCAGGATCCTGAAAACAAATTAGGAAGATAATGACTTCCCCGATAAGTTTTGGCTCCTTCCCCCAGCAATACCAGAGTGATTCAGAGAAGATGAGCAAGTTAGGGTCAGCAGGAGCTCACACACAGCTCCTGTTTTGACCAAGAGGAACAGAAACTTGCTTCAAGTCTTCCAGGCATACTTTCTAAAATGTCACTTCTGCAAGTACCAAGGACAAGGGGGGGACAAATAGAAGAAACCATGCACTTGTGCAAGAAATGTCAAGTAACAGTAATGCTTGAAGACAGCCGGTCAAGTAGACCTAGGGAACCCAATCTTTCCTGCCCCAAGAGCCTTTTCCACTCCGGGAAGCCATGGTCTTCACTGCCTCAAGCAAGTACAACCCACATCCCATTTACAAACACAGGAAGAAACGGGAGATCCCAGCTGGGTCACAAGATCCCCACAGCTGTGGGGAAATGGAGATTCCCGAGTCAGAGCGAAGAGCCTGACCCACAGTCCTGTCTGTCTGTTACCAAAATCATGACGTAGCGCTGGCCGTGTTTGTGCAGGTCTGCCACCAGCGACGGGAGCGAGGCAAACTTCTCGGGATCGAAGGTGAAGTCCCGGTATCCGTCCATATAATCAATGTCGTTCCACTGCGCATCCTGCGGGAAAGAGAAGGTCAGAAACACACGTGTGGAGCCCCAGCTTTCCAGCCACGTGCCTTGATTTTACCTGTGGGATCTGGTAATTCCTCATGGCTTTCACAGTCTGCCAGGTTTCATTGCTCGACCCGTAGCCCCAGCGGCAGAGATGGAAACCCAGTGCCCAGAGGGGCGGCATGGCTGGGAAACCTGGAGAAAGACAGAGGCACCCAAGGGAGGCCAAGACAGGAGCAATGTTGTGAAAGGATGGAAAGGGGGAAAGAGTGGCAGCCGTTGGCATCAGATGTTCTGGCAGGGTTTGGGGCGAGATGGGCTGAAGGTGGCAAGGGGAGGTGATGATGGGTTGGGATGGGAGAAAGGAAGGAAGCAGGATGGTCACCCACCTATGACCTGCTGGTACTGCTGGATGACCATGTTGGGATCAGGCCCCAGGAAGATGTAAAAATCCAAAATGCCCCCAATGGTCCTCCAGGTCAGAGCTGGGGCCGGCTGCAGAGCCACCTCTTTAACAGAGGAGAGAAAAAGACATTGAGACCCAGGGGAGCAACAGCACCAAGGGGAGCCCTGGGTACAGGCTGGGAGCAGACAGTCCCAGATAAAGTCAGTCATTGACAGGAGGCAAGGAGAAACACTGAAACAAGAGTCTTAGGACTCTTCTGATGCTGAATGGGTATCTGGAGGCTTAAATCACTGCAGTCTGTGAATACCTCTATTTATACAGCTAGGAAATTATTTTAAATCGTTGTTCTATATGTGGAAAGCTCTACCATCCTCACAGCTTCCACTTAAAGGCCATGCTTGTTCTTTGCTTTCCTTTGCACCCTCCCCTAAAGCCTCTCCTAAACACAGACCAAAGAGAGAGATACTTGTATGGGAGCACACACGGGACCGGGCGCTTTCCTGGGAAGGGCTTTTCACACGAACGAGCCCTCAGACCTCAGCTAGAGCCACCGACTGTCCCAGGGACAAGTCCTCGGGAGACTCAGGGCACTGAAACGAAGCCCAGCTGGGGCAGAGCTGGGTGCAAGCAGACCCCAGTGACCACAGGAGGAACGTGAGCCCATGGGTGCCCTCCCTGAGCCGGCAGGAGCTGCTCGGTCCCGTGCAGGGCACAGCGGGGACCAGCTTTCGAGGCCGCTGTCCCCGCGCGCAGCAGGACCGAGGCACGACGCGGCGCTTTGAGGCTCGGCTGTGTCGGGAGGGCAGGGAACAAGCAGAGACCGGCACGCGAGGTGCTTTTCTGACAGCAATTCGGCAGCTGGGCATGTGGTTAAACTGCTCAGCAGTTGCTAAAGAGCCTCACTTTAGCCAGGAAACAGATGGCCAAGCTCAATAATGGAGCCATGAAACCACATTTTTTTTCCTTTTATGGCTTCCTCTTGCCCCATGTTGCTGAACCAAGGAGCCCAAAGCACTTACCCATCGCATTGCTGTTGAGGAGGAAAACCCCATGGGCATCTCCACCCCGCTCCATCACCAGGTAGAAGGGGTGAGCTCCGTAGAGGTTGAACGACTCCTGCAAACAGTGGCGGGTTGAGGGAGCAGCTCCTGATGCCCACAGGCTGCGTGGAGCCCTCCCGCCTGGGCGGTCCGTGCTCAGGGGCTGCTGCTGAGCTGTGCTGGATGGGAGAGAAACCTCCTGCCCGAAAGCAGCTTCGCTGCAACCTGCTGTGCAAACGACAGGGTGGAGCGGGAGATGCTCGGGGCCTTGGGAGCACTGAGCATTTTGCAACGGCTCTGAAGTTCTTCCCCTGCACGTACCTCCCCGCCAGCCCCGGCGCAGCCCAGCGGCCTCCCCTTGATGCTGGATCCACAAGGGTGGCCGTAAGAGGCCTGGGCAATGCTGCAGCATCCATGCAACACAGCCCGGAGTTGCAGCAGCCTGGGACAAGTGGTCACACCAGCCCCAGGCCGCTGCAGAGCCCCAGCACCGTTTTCCCAAGGCTTATCCCATGCACTCGATAGCTCCAGCCCCATTCTCGCCCTGTGTCCATCCGTAGAGGAGGGAAGTACCATGGGAGGGACGTCCCGGGCCCACAGCGTCAGGGTGACCCAGTCGAGGCTGTGCAGCAGGCTGGTGCGATGCTCCCCCAGCCCGTAGAGGAACGGCGACGGCAGGGCCGTGGAAATCTGCAGGAACTGGTCGGCAAAGATCAAGGGAGCCACCGTGGTGTTGAGCCTGGCAGTGACACAGGGAAAAGGAATGGAGAGAGGACACCGGGTGGAGTTCATCCATTCTCCCGTTGCCTCCAGGAGCAGATTTATGGCCAGCAAAAGCAGCCTGTTTCCCGCTGGCAGCCCTGCTCTGCCCAAGGCAGGTGGGGAATGGATGGGCACGTGGGTCTGGCTCAGTGCAAGGCACACCCTGACCCCAAAAGCCAGCCTGACCCGCGTGGCATGGCCTCGCTGTGGCACCACAAGCTTCCCCCATGGTCACTGTATGAAGGCAATATGTGGTGAAGCTTCTCAGCCTGTTGCACTGATAAATGGTTTCTAAGGAACAGACCACAGGCCATAGCAAACTGAGGGTGAGAAGAGGAAAGGAGCGTGATCCTACACGGCTGCCAAAACACCCTGCCCATAGACCAAGAGGCCATAGACAGAACTGGCTGGGCACGTGGTGGGGATGAAGCTAAGATGTGACTGTAGCAGTCAGCAAAGATAAATGCAGCCCCTTTCCCCCCAAAAAGCACCAGGGCCCAGCGTTTGCTGCAGTTTTGTCCAAGAGAAAAGCAAATCTGCAGCGCTTGGGCAACCTGGAGCCACGTGTCTCTTGTTGGTGACCACCACGCTCAGGGACCTGCACACGTGGGGTTTGCCCCATCCCCGAGCGTTGCCCTGGCCTGTTTCCCTCCCATGCTAAGGGCAGCACGTGGGAGTTGATGTGGGGAGGGAACAGGGTCTGCCAAGGGCTCCCAGGTGCCAAGCAGGCTCCTCACAGCACGGTGCCCGTCGCCCGTCGCCGCAGCAGCACCCCGAAGGGCTCCCGGGAGAGCTCCACGCTGTAGATGGGATTTTCAGCTCTCTTCGTGGCCTGGGGAACCTCGAGGGGAACCTCGTACCGCGGGCTGGCAGCATCAGTGATCTGCAGGAGGGCGGGAATGTGCTTTGAGGACCCGCAGCGCGGGCGGGCGAGGACAGCGAGCCACGTGCAGGCAGGAGCAGCTCACCTTGATGTGCAGCCGCGTGTCCGTCTCGTAGCGCACGTCCAGGTGCAGCGTGCCCACGTCGCGGGGGTAATAGGCCTTCTGGGCACGCACGAGCAGCCCCGTCATGCCCAGCGCCGTCTGGTTGAGGCTCTGCAGCGCGTAGCTGGGGAAGTCGCTGGGGTAGAAGCACCAGGGCGCCCCGCGCGCGGCGCCCTGCACAAAGCAGCACCCGCGGCTCTCGCAGAGCTCCTGCGTGACCACGACGTGCCGCTCCGGGTAGCAGTCGAAGCGCTGGCTCTGGGGCACCGCCAGGCACTTGGGGGGCGGCGGGGGCAGGTGCCAGCCACGGGACACCTGCCGCAGCACCCACACGGTGACGGCGCTCAGCAGCACGGCGGCCACCAGCAGCCCGCTGCCCACCCAGCACGGTGCCAGCCTGCCGCGGCCGGCCGCCCGCGGCGCGGCGCCCTCCTCCTCGAGCCGGCAGCCCGGCGGCGGTGCCGCCGTCCTCAGCTTCTGGTAGGACTTCATCTTCCTGGCGCTGCGGGACGGAGGCGGCGGTGAGGGGGAGATGCCGGCGGAGAGGCTCGCGCCGCAACGCAGCCCCCTTGCCGGCTGCGCCCCCACGCACGCCGCAGACTCTTGGCGTTGGAGATGGATCCGCCAGCCCCCCCGGAGCAGCCTTGGACACATGGAATTTACGGGCTGCGGAGCTTCCAGAAGCTGCGAGCAGAGCCGAGCGCCCCGGTGCCCATTGCAGGGCTGCAGCTCAGCGTGCTGAGCATCCTCCGCTCTCGCTCCGACCCCAACATCTCAGCGCAGGGTGACGGGATGACAGGGAGCTGCCGCCAGCCGCTGCCTCCCACCAGTGCAATAGGGTTTTAGAAAGCTCTGACCCCCAAACCCCGCCGACTCCCGCAGTGAAGCAGCCCCTCCGCAGCTCCTTGCTGGCTGCAAGCAGCACCGGGTGGCACAACTTTCCTTCCTCCGCCTCCTGCCCAGCCTGCGGACCCCCCGACCCACCTGCCCTGCAGCCCGCACGCCGCACGAGCCCAGCAGAGCGGGGCTGCGGGAAAAGCAGCTTTTATGGGCAGTCAACACCCCCGCCGGCGGCCCCGGCACCAAAATGGCTCAGTCTGGCTGGGCCTGGCTGCGAAACCACCCGCTCCGCGGCAGCCCTTGCCCCATGCAGAGCACCAGCCTTATGCAAGCGATGCGTGTCCCGCTGGCAGGCAGGAGCTGCCCCCGCTCGCACGCGGGGCCGGGCAGCGAGCACCGTCCCATGCCGCAGGGCACGCCGGCCCCGCGCGCCGCCAGCGCCAGCCCAGCCGCGAGGCCACCTGCGGCGGGGACGCTCGGGGAGCAGCCTTGCGAGCAGCGACGGGGGGACCGGGGGACCCCCGAGCCGGCCCCGGGGAGGCGTCACGGCCCCGGTGCCCCCCTGCCCGGCGGCCGGGCCCTGCTGCGGCCGTGCCCGCCGCTTACATCCACGTGTCTCCTCTTGACATTGTGGCTGCGGGCGGCAGCGCTGCCGGCTGCGGCGGCTCCGCGCGCCGTAAACACCCGACAAGGCGCCCGGCTCCTACCGCCGCTCTCTAGTAGCAGCGCCCCGCGCACGGCCCGCCCGGCCACGTACCCTGCCGCTCGCCTCCCCTTTGGGCTGCTTTTGCTTGTTTTCCACATCGATCTACATTTATTTCTATACTCAGTGCTGTTGTAAAGTCCCACGGTGCAGAATAGGGAGTGGGGATGATCAGTGAATTTTTAGATTTTTTTTTCCCACAGCCTGGGTGCATCAGGGGCTTCCAAACACCATGTCTTGTTGCTTCTATGCCACTTTTGATAGTTAAAGCACCTTACGCAAAGCTGTGATGAGAAGAAAAGCTGGTTTTCTGAATCCTGGAGTGGCTTCTTTGGGGAATCGTGGTGCATAATGTGGGTCCCAAGTGGGTGGATTGGACACCCCAAATCCAGATCCTCCCGCTCCCTAAAGCAGCAGCCTGTTGGCACCCAACAGAGCTCTGGGTTTTGGTTTTTTTTTTTTTTTTTGCTTTATTTTTTTTTTACTATTTTTTTCCCCAGGCACTCCCATTCACCTGTGCAAACGAGTGCCTATAATTGCACACTCCCTGCCCGGGATTTCCTGCTCCCGGAGGAGCCAGAACTTCTCTTTGTTTACTATCAAAGGCCCCTGGAGTCTAAAGTTCAGCGCTAAAAGATAACAGACCTTTGGAGTGGAGTTTTTTTCTCCGGGGAATGGAAGCAAAAAAGTAAGAGCTGTTGTGCACAGGCTATTTCACCCAGAAATAAAATTTCAGGCCCCAGCCATGTGTGACGGGTCCAATCCTGCCTTGCAAAGCAATGGGCTGAGCAGTGTGGGACACAGATGGCATCTCAAGGATGGCTCCCGTGGCTCCTGGATCCCCATGTGCTGGGGCAGGGGCTGCACAGGGACCCTTGGGTCACCACCTGGTGACAGGCTCATTGAGCCACCGCCTACACCCGTGTTGATGCTGAAGCTCCATCGGGGACCAGGGCGGTGGGGGAAACCAGCTCTTGACCCGGAGCCTCCTGCCCGGCCTGGCCCAGGGCAGCTTTTTGAGCAGAGCCGGCACGTTTGGGAGGTGCAGACGGTCTGGCACTCACACCGGGCAGCAGCTTTGTGCCCGCAGCCCGGGAGGTTTCGTCAGCCCCATTAGCTCAGCTCCCCAAACTGGGTTTCTTAACGCAGAGCCGCTGTGAGCCGTGCCACGGGAAGATGCAAAGTCCCCAAATTCTTGCAAACAGCCAATATTTGGGGCCTCTCTGCCGCTGCCTCGGTGCACAGGAGGCTCACGGATCCGGCACTGTCCCAGCCCAAGGCCACACATGCAGCTTGGGCACAGCAGCATCCCGCCAACCACAACCACACTTGTGATCCAGGCCGGGACCCGAAATAGCCTGCAATTATCACCGGGAACCGCGTGGTTTCTACGCTTGGATCCATGCGTGGGGCTTGGGGATGGTGCCACCTGACGCAGCCCGTGCAGCCGCAAAGCCGCCAGGACGTGCAAAACCTCTGCGCCTCCGCCCGCAGCCTCTGCCCAGGCCCCAAAGAGGGGGAGGTCTCCCTGGGAAAAGGTCCCGCTCTCCCATTTCCCTTCGGGAAAAGTCCCAGCGACGGGAGCAGCACAAACACTGACGGGGAGGGGCGGGGGGGGAGCAGCGCGGCGCCCACGTGACCCGCGCAGCCCCGCCCCCTCCCGCGCCGCGCCCTTCGCCATGAATGAACGGCGTGGGCGTGG